AATCATAAATTTTCTTACCTCGGCCCCAACCATGGTGGGGCTGAGGGGAGTGGTTCCTCAATCTGTGAATGTCCCTCCCTGGTTCACCTCTCTTTTCAATTCCTGCATCTGCCACTGTTGATTTATTATGTAATTATTTTGCGCTTATTTATAATGTGTCTATTGCAATTTTCACTTTATCATCTCAAACAGTCCTAAGAATGTTCAGAGTGCGCTACTTCACAGGGGGATTTTCCCCCTTGACCCCGGCGGGGTCCTTCGTAATTCGCATAACGGCTCCCCCCCTTTCAAAATCCTGGCTACGTCCCTGATACCAGGTATAGTTATAATAAGAGTATTTAACTTTGTATGAAACGATTGCTATTATACTAAGATGAAAACACGAAATTATTTATTTCCATGACCTTGCAAGAGGGCCGACTGTTCTGATTATGCACACAGGCAATTAAATGAAAAACAAAGTACTACGTCCACGAAATAGGGGCCCACTGTATTTGAATACTGCATATCGCGATTCGAACTGTCACTAAAATTAGAAATATTTAAGTTTTAACTATAGGTCTACAGCAGAAATATCGTTGTTTTACCTAAGATATCTCTATTATTATAAAGATATCGCTATTTAAAAGATTTAAAAGATATCTCACATGTGATTAAAATGACAATCGTCTCGCCATAATAAACGCAGATAGGCCTACTAGATAGGAATGTGTTTCAACAAAACCAAACCAAAAAAAAAAAAAAAAAATATTTTAAAAATATGATTGACAGATTATTCGATACAAAAACCAGGTTTCCAAGAAGTAATAACATTTATTTAACTTTAACCTTTATATGTTCATTTCCAGTTTGCGGCAGCAAGGAATTTGAAATTTGTTGAAACAAGTGCCAAAGAAAACGTAAATGTTGAAAATGCTTTTGAAACTCTTGCTAAAGCAATGGCCGCCAGCACAACACCACGTGATGTAAGTATACCTTCATTGTGTTTAAAACGAAAGTAACAATGGCTGGACCTCTTTAGAGATACACATTTGATTAACAACAGCTTCTCTTTCTTCTGTTTTTTTTGTTTGTTTTTTTCTGTTCTCTCTTTCCTGTTTACTGCCTTTCCCATTGTATGCAGTTTTTTCCCCTTTGTTCCTTTCTTTTAAGCACTCTCTCAAATTGGTGCATTGAAACTAGTTGCACTTTGTAAGTCGAAGATTTGATTGGAAAGTGAAAATGTAAGTAAACATCCAGAAATGGAACCCGAGCTTTCGGACAGCTACTAATCCTTCTCAGTGGCGATTATATACAGTATAATAAAAATGGTAGAAACAGTGCTTGAATAAAGGAACAATGACAAAAATTACCGTCGACTATTTTTAACTTAATTTTCTTTATAATTATTCTTTGTTTTTCATATATTTTGTTACTTATTGTTGTTTTTAACGACATTACTTCTCAATATGTCAATGATGAAAAGCCACCCGTTCAGATTTGTCAACATACATTGTAATTTTAGTTTATTTTGTTGTTATTACTTTTGAACAGATTACAATGCAAGAATCAGTGATCGGTCTGGACGGCAGGAAATTGTCAAAATATTCACCTTGTTGATGTCACGTTTAGTTAAACTATCTGTATGGTGAGCCGAATTTTCATTTAATCGTAGATATAGAAAACGTTACGTAGCCCGATATCCGTCTTCGTAACATATGCGATATATAAACACGGCCTTACTTATCCCTTCCTGTGTCTCCAAAATTGACGTTGATTGATTTACAAGATTCAAATCTCTTATTTAGTTAAGAATTTCATTTCATATTTTTGTTGCTTTTTAATTACATACATTTTATTGTTGTTTAGGTATTCTCTAACGTATGCCACTGTTATAAAAGTGTAATCCAATATATATTGTAATGATAGTCTTAACTAACGTGTATTCCGTTTTCTCTTTATTTACTTTCATGTTGAATTTATTTAGATGATTCTCAATGTAGTTTATGTTAATTCTTTTTTTTCTAGGTAGATTAAGTCGACGTCATCCGCAATATACTCTAATTCACGTGGTATCACCTGCTCATGTTCTTGGCTATAGAGAATACCGAGTCCGCGCATGGTGTGCTTAAGGTTTATTGTTAATAGAACTGGACTCAGGCTGTCGCTTTGTGGTGTACCTATATTACTTATAAAGTTTGCATTTTTTGTAGCATTTATCTTCAGATCAAGAGCTGTGTGACTTAGGTAAGAATCGAATCATGCGGGCTTTATCCTCATTTACAATATTTGCCTACAATGCTAAATAATAATTTACGATAAATAGTGTCAGATGCACTCGATAAGTCAATTGATATTGATCGCTGGTGGTGCGAGTGTATCTGCTCCATACCTTGAATTCCATCTACCCCAGCCGCGTGATTATTATTTCGTTTCAAAAGAATTCTCTTGACTTCACATGTTGAGGTGTTATTTTGCAGTATTCTTGGCCGCCCCTCGAACAGATCCACCATTGAGTCATTTTCATCAAGAAATTTTTTTTAAAGCATTTTCAATTTCGTTTGAATTCGCAATGAATTGTTGTTGTTCATTGAACACTTTGGGGTTTTTGAATTTTTCCCTATAAAGTTCTTTTACGGTTCTAAACAATCGTGCGCCGTCTATGGATTGGTCGATTTCCAAACTTCTCTGTTCGACGTCATAATTGCTTTTGTCAGTGACTCGTTTTCAGATATCGTGTAAAATTGTGTTTATTTGTTGTTTTAACTGTTTACATTCCTCTTCCGATTTAGTGTACTTTTTGGTCGTTTGACATTTGTTGAATTACTGTGTCATAAGTTATGTTGTTTTTAGCTGTCTGTTTGAAACCGATTCTTCAGCTGCCTTATTGATTGTTTGCTTAAGTTTTCCCCACGCTTCAATTGGTTGGTCAGGTATTGCTTTACTCTCTGTTATTTCTGTTAGCTTATTAAAATATGAATTTCTCATGTCTCACTTGCGGTCAACATTTTTTTTGCATGCAAATTTTTGTTTTATTCCCTGTACATGTTTTGTTTTATTCTATACCATGTAAGAACGAAGTTGGTAATAACAACTGTATTATCGCTTGACGCTAATGTGCCGCTGTACGATCTCGATTTTTTAAGTAATGCTTTATATCCAGATATACAAATAATGAAGTCAATTTTTTTTTTAAATTGTTTTTAACAACCAAAAATGTGTTTACGCCTAAAAAGGCATAAAGTAACTGTGTTCGAATATACTGCTTATCCCTTGAACGACCTAGTATGATAGAGTATGCTGTGAAGGAAGGTCCGCTTGTAATAGGGTTACCCCTATTCAATTATCGGGGACACTTACTGAGTGTGCCAAATGGTAAATTCAACACTGTTTTTTATCCCAATTATGGGGACAATTTCACATTTTCAGTTGTCTTTTAAGAAGGGGTACCCTTATTTAAGTGTTACACATAATATTATTAAGTGGACACTTTGGTTTCCTGGTAACGTATTCTACTTTACAAATAAAATCGATGGACTACGGATAAAAAAAACCCCCCAAAAAACAACAAAAAAAAAAACAAAAAAAAAAACAACCCAGTAATTCACAGTATATTGAAACTAACACTCAATAAATAATAAGAAAATTTGTCTACGTTTTCCAACTATAGTAAAACATGTAACATCCTGGGACATTTTCTAGTTTAAGCATATGCGGACCGGTTCTTTATAACTATATATGCCAGCACTTTACAAGATCACATCTCTGGGATGAGATATTCTGATGATCATTCAGTATATGACTCGTTCAATCCAAATTCTAGCTCGAGTGTGGAAAATACCATCACCAAATTGGAGACATGCCTTCTATCTATCAATGACTGGATGAAGGCATTTATACTGATTGGAAGCAGAGCTCAACTTCTGAAATGCGACATTGATCATATCATTGTATGCCAAGATAGAATTCCACGTGGACCATCACTAAAATACCTTGGTGTTAATTTTGTTATCAATTAAGAACCAAATTCGAGATGTAAAATGCAAAACGGTTTTGGTAAACCTGTACCGGTATTATATTCGCCAAATTCGCGAATTTCTTTCCAAAGATCTTTGTCAACAGCTAGTGCAATCGCTCGTGCTGTCACACCTTTACTATGAATGCACTATACTATGGCTTACCTGTTGCTACCCGTGCTCCGATGCAAAGGCTACTGCATCAAGCAGCAAAAATAATTCTTAAAAAAGGTCGATTCATTTCACAATTGGCTTAACAATTGAACGTTTTTAAGCGATCGCTTTGCTTTGAATTTTATGCAAAAATGCTACCTGGTACCCGTCGGAGGATCGTTGTGCCGGGAAACGTTGTTTTGTTAGCCTCGATCTTAGTATGGATAGCTTTAACGACTAATCGCATTAATTGCCACCGATATTATCCTGGAAATATAACATGTTGCCGGGTAAGCCATGGTGTTACCCTATTGTTATATATACTGCCGGAACATCCTAACTATAATGTCACACAACGTATTATACATAATAAATATCTTGGTTCAAGAATCCACTACGATAGGAAGTCAACATGTACTTTTCAAATTGAACTTCTTATATGCATGGATATTCATCCTAATCCTGGGCCTGCTACCAATAGGCCTATTGAAAACAGTGTCTCTTGTGTGAATACAAATCGTAAGTCCTTAAATGGACTAAACATTGCTCATCTGAACATAAACAGTCTGTATGGGAAAATTAATCTACTTCGTTTGTCAATCAGACCAATTAATGTACATATTCTAACTCTATGTGAAACCAAGTTAGACGCTACAATATTGGACAGCGAAGTTAATATTCCCAGATACAGAGTTAATCGAAAAGACCGGAATCGATCTGGCGGAGGTGTTGCCATCTATATTTCTTCCAGTCTCCGGTTTACACATTGTATTACCGACTGTAACCTGGAGTGTTTAGCGATTAATATCATTAACTCATCAGGTAGTAACATTACAGTCGCCATTGCTTATAGACCACCATCGTCTAAAATTAGCTAATATGATGATCTGGAACACTTTATTGAACAGTTGGATCCTTACAATAAAACCCTCATTATTACAGGGGATCTAAATTGTAATTTTATTGATCCTGATGACTTCAATACCAATCACCTGACTGACATAACAGAGGGTTTTAATCTAAAACAACTTGTAGTTGAAGCTACTCGTATAACGCAAAATTCTTCTACTCTAATTGACGTCATTTTTACCAACAATGAATCTCTTCAGATTGAAACTAAAGTAGATTCTCTTGCTCTCAGTGATCATGAGTTAATCGTCACTATTCTTAATACTAAAGCGCCGCCTTGTACACATCACAACCAAGTAACTTTCAGAAGTTTTAAAAACTTTAACGCAAATTCTTTTGTGAATGATTTACGTGACGCACCATTCCATGAAATAAGAAAGTCCGATAACTTTAATGACGCATATACAATTTTCTATGACATTCTTCTTAAGGTGTGTGACAAGCATACTAAATTGGTCACCCGCCGTTTTCCTTCTTCTAAATTACCACCGTGGCTCGATAAACGTGACGACATCTTAGATCGAATGCATAAAAGGGACAGAGCAAGGTCCAGGGCTAAACGGTCAACAGATCCTGAAAATTGGAAAATAGCAAAACAATTAAAAAACAAAGTTACTTCAATATGTCGGAAGTCCAAAAAACTGTTTTATAAGGACTTTATTACCCAGCATAATGGTAACACCAAAAAGATGTGGAATAGTCTAAAACATTTGGTACCTTCCAGGTACCTTAAAGGAAATCTTCTACACCTAATTTAATTAAAGTTAACGATAGAGAGATAACGAAGCCATATGATATAGCCGAAGCATTTAATACTTATTTTAGTGAAATTGGCTTGGAACTTTCCAAGACTTTATCTAGGGATATTACTTATTATCTAAATGACATTCGATGGAAGAATATGTTTTATTTTGAAGAAATATCATCAGAATTTGTCCTGAAAGAATTAAATAAGATAGATTTGAATAAATCCACTGGGTTGATAATATTAGTAGTAAACCTCTTAAGATTGCAGCTCCTGTTATATCTGATCACATTACATTTCTCTGTAATCTTTCTCTACCCTCTGGAACTTTTCCATCCGAATGGAAAAGAGCCACCATCACCCCTCTTTTCAAATCTGGTTAACCTACTCTTCTTACTAACTACCGTCCTATATCTGTTTTGCCCATCTTCTCAAAAAAAATTAGAAAGAGCAGTCCATAGTCAATTGTATAATCCCCTCTCATCTAATGACCTAATCTCTATTTCACAATCGGGATTTCTTCCGAAATATTCTACATTAACAGCCACAATCAACACGTATGATAATTGGCTTTCAAATATCAATGAAGGGAAATTAACTGGTACTGGTCTTTATCGATCTAAAAAAGGCATTTGATCTTGTCCAGCATAATCTTATAATTAATAAACTTCCGTACTATGGATTATCATCTTCTTCTATTAAATGGTTTAACTCTTACCTTAGTCAGCGTTCACAAAAGTTTTCTATTCTCATCTCTTCATCTTCTTTTCATTCTGTCAATATGGGAATACCCCAAGGCTCCATCTTG